ATCATGATTCTGAGTACCGTAAATACAAAGCTAATGTTCATTTTGGAACTACCTTTTATTAACCTTTATTTATCTGATCCACCAATTTAATAATAGATTTGACCTGTCTGATCGCTTTGTAATAAGGATCTGCATTTTAGCAAACCTTACAGACTACATTCACTATAACTTGCTCCAGTGTCAATAGGCTCTATTCACAAAGCTTTCACACAAGGATAAGGATCCTTATTTTCAATAAAGTGACCATTTTGGTAGTTGACAGGAATAATATTGTATGGGGGGAAAATCTATCCTTATATCACGCATGGATTGCCTGCTGCAGATGTCATTGTTCAGTTATTGAGCTCGCAGAGTTCGTGCTGCCAGATTAAACACCATACTAATTGGTGGGTCCATAAAGTAAAATTATCCAGGGACAACAGCGACCATCCGACCATAATTTGGTAGATCAAACGCAGACTGTAGGTGAGAGAAGAAAAGTCAGATTTCTAAATGGTCTCTAAATGTTTTTGCCAGATATTAAAAAACCATCACTTTAATCACTATTTACTTCATAGTAAAAGTGATAGAAAAGACTAACAGATGTAATACACTTACCCATACATAGTGAGAGTTCCTATCCCGGCAGAGTGGACAGGTTTTACTCTCCTGCATTCATCTTGTAATGCAGTCAGTGTGAAATTGCGGACCGCAGGGTATTCTGGTGGATCCAGCTTCTTCTATCTCCAGGAGAATCTTGGCTTGCAAAAACAATGATGTTTAGTAAATGAGAGATGCTTCCTTCTTCTCTAATGCTAAAGACCTTCAAAATGTAATTTTTTACTTTTAACTTTTTTCATTTGTATAAAGTCACAGCGGTGATCCTGGGGCATTGTCCCCAGTAGCAATAGAATGTCCAGGCAGAATGTCCTTCTTCTACTGCATTCTCTAGATTATCAAATATATTTAGTATCCAATTTGGAGAATAAATCCTGCCTCTCTGTAACTGCTGCTGCAGATGTAGAGATGTAGGGCAGGGAACCCCAGGGCAGGTCAAACATGGGACTTTTTTATGCATTTCTAAGCTAATTTTCATAAAAAATATGATTACCTGCATTTTTTATAACTATTTGTATGTCGATATGGAGGATGCACTGATCCCCATGACTATGACCCCAAATCATAGAGCAGGTAAAGCTTAGAGCCTCTATTACATTTTATTGCTTCCTAGGAAACCAGAAGGGAGATTTCTACTCACTTCCTTAGTGACACCAGAAGCTTCACGTTTACCTTCATTGAGATCTCTATTTTGTGTGGACTTGCCCTGCAGGTGCTGCATGTTGTCTGGCAGCTAAGCACACCATTTAAAAGCTGTAGACATGATTCTTAAGCCTGGTACACACTGCAAGTTTTTTTTTTTTTTTTTTTCCTTCATCCCAGGAGCTAGATCACTGTACCAACAGAAGTGATGTTGGTGTGGTGACCTCCCTCGCTGTGCTATTGTATTGTGACGGGGACTCGCCCCTACCCCCCTTGGCTGCGAGGGCTATTTTGACAATGCTGGTTTACCAGCATGTCCCTTTAACAAAAGCTGGTTATTAGACCGGCTTCTGTTGGACAAACTGCTGCACACACTGACTGAAAGTCAGTTGGTTCATTCAGAACCAGCTGATTTTCAGACAGTGTGTAGCCAGCTTTAGCAAATACAAAGCTATTCATTTTGTAACCAACCCAAGTTTCCTTCACAGAGTAGAAGGCTTTTCTCCACTAACCCACCAAAAATTGTATTCTTGTTATTTTACCTGGCAATCCTTGTATAGTTGGCTGTCCATTAACAAAGTTAATGGAAAATGAGTCCCCACTGACTTAGAGGGGGCCAGGGGCAATGAAGGTCATGGTTCCATAATTTGGTATGGGAATTACACGCTTTGTATACCAAGGGAACCTTTGCTGGCAGATGGGACAGGTGGTGTCCCTCTCCTGTGCCCATCTCATGTAATTGTGGTGAAATTGGTGCGAGCAGCATAGGTTAGTGGTTTTTGCTCCCTCTGCCAATTGCTGGAAGCGGATACTGCAAGCAGGACACTCCTCCATCTGCTGATCATGAAGAGGGGGACTCTGAATGTTCCCCAGATCTGGCTGGTTCCGAATGATCACAGTACGCCGGTATCTCGAGGGAGAGTCAGGATGATGTCTCTGCTGCAGCAGATGTGCAGTCATGGAGAATGACTACATTCTGTGTGGAATCATGGTTCTGGCGTCTCTGGTGAAACTGATGTTCAGACTGTCTGCCCCACAGTGGAGACCTTGTTATTCTTCTATGATTTATGGGAAAGACTTGCCCTGCAATAACAATATACAAGACAATTAAAAGACAAATTCCAAATATTAATTTTTTTTTTTCATGTGTTAATTTTTTCAGAAGTATTAAGTTACAACAATAAAACTTACTGTGTTAACATCCATACTACAAGGAAAAGTTTGGAGCCTCTGCAAAGTTTTATTGCTCCCTGTGGAACCAATAGGAATATTCCCACTCACTTCTTTCCCAGTGACACCAGGAGCTTCTCTTTTCCCTCTATCATTTCCCAAAAACTGATGTTTTAGGTAGACTGGCCCTTTATGAGCTCTGTGGTGTTTGGCAGTTAAAAAGCTAAATAAAGCAGCAGACTTCATTCTGAGTAATTACAAAACAAGTCATAGTTTTGTTCCAATCTCAAATTCCCTAACAGAGCAGGAAGGCTTTGATCATCTACTCCAGCCATTGTCAGCTAGGATTCCTCCAGAGGTTGCTAGGGGTTCCTTGAGCTGTGGTTGATTGACTTCCCATTGATGGTGCCTGCATAGTTTCAGGGCCAAAGCCACTTGGCAGAGCCAGCAGCATGACATCAACTATCTATTTAGCTGTCTGTAATGGTGGCATTCTTCCCTCTGGCCACCAATCTAAGGGGCATTTTCACACTTATCCCCAATGAATTGTTTATAACCGAGGTACCTACCTCGAGACCTATATGTTATTCATGGGTTACTCGGGGCAAAAAGGTTTAGAAGGGCGGATCTTAATAAAAAAAAAAGAAGTTCTCATCACTAATTGAAGGGCTTGTGTGCATGGGATTCTGTTTGTGAGTTTTGAATTTCCATATAAGTCTTTGGGAATGCAAAACACGCTTAGAATGTATTAAAGGGGATTGAAAAGGAGATCAACTGCAGGTCAGTTTCGCCTTTCAATAAATTCGGATTAGTGATGTTCACCAAAAAAATCTGCAAACCCTGAACACAGCAACTGGACCCTATCTATGGGAGACTAATTTTATTTTTTTAAAAGGCCATGGAAAGCTGGGCACTGCCATGGGGGACATATACCAATGCAAAAAAAAAGTTACTGTTCAGTAGGGAGCTGGTCTTTTAATGTGACTTGAATGGCAACATTACAAATACACACGTTCCTCATTATAGGAATATTTACATTTTTTGCACACGTTAAAATCTGCATTTTTGGCTATAAATTCATTTAAAAACGATGGGGCCCCCGGAATATTATAAATATTTTTTCTGAATGCAGAGGAATGGGCACTATTATTTCCACTGGACCCATATAGCAGTGGTGTCCCGGCCCTTTGCCTACCTTTATCCTGCCCTTGGGGTACTATTCCTGTCATTGATACAAGGCATTTTTCCTTCTATTGACACCAACAATGAGGTACCATTGTTTCCGTTGCAACCAATGGTGCGGTATATTTCCTCTCACGGACAACTGTGCTCAGGGTATTGTGTTCCTTGTGAAATGTAAGGCATGGGAGGTTTGAAATACTGTGTTTGAGTGCACTTACCTTATAATAAAAGTGACTTGGTTTCAGTTTGGTTGGACATTATGGGTATAGATCCTTAAAAGTTAAGGCTGGTCACAGACGGTTCAAATCTTGGCCTTTCACAGCCATTCACTGGGAAGATCAGTGGGCTGCTCTTTCCCCAACGCCAAATCTTTGTTCTCAGCTACATAAGGATCTTAGAGGATGTGTGATCACTTATAAAACAGGGAAAAGGGTATTTATAATAGTTTTATATCTACACACAAATGCTTTGCTGTTCATTTCTGTTTTAACTGAATAGGTTGTAGGGATTCACCGATATATCTGTAGCCGAAATGTATTGATCTAAAATAGTGTTATCGGCATTCTGCCAATAGGAAAAAAGGTGCTGATAATGGCCGCCGAAAATGCACGATTTTAGCATATTTAGGGTGTGTTTTTCATAGGTCAGTACATTTTGTGTTTTTGCATGCGTGTTTTGCGCTTTTAAAAAAAAAAATTTGTTTTTGTCCAGCTTGTTTCTGGACATATAAAATGCATCAAGAAACTAAAGAATGCATTTTTTTTTATGCCTTTTTGCTCTGTTTTCAGTGCATTTCAGGCCTGGTTCACACCAATGCAGTTTCATTTTTTGTTTCTTTTGCGTTTTTGCATGCATGTTTTTGATGTGTTTTGCGTTTTTTGTTTTTTTGTTTTTTTTGGTCAACTTGCTGGACAGATTAAAAATGCAAAATGCAGCAAACATGAAAACACGTCAAAAACACACTACATGCGTTTTCTGCAGCATCTCCATTGAAGTCTCTGACCCTTTCCAAAAACACAGCAGCTCATAAAAGCATAGATGTGAACGTGTCCCATAGGAAGCCATGTTAAATGGACCGTAGTGCATTTCTGCAAAATCACTAAAAAACGCATTGGTGTGAAGCAGGCCTTTATGGGAAGGTGCATTTTTTTTGTTTTTTTCTAACTCGCCAAATATACCTCAGAAATATGGCAAACAGAATTTTTAACACCACAATTGAAGAGCAACTGACCAGTGTGATGACTTACATTGAATTGAAGGGATGCATTTTTCCTGAGCTTTTCTTGTGCCTTTTTCAAAAACAAATATGGATTAAAATGAGCGGCTAGGGTTTTTTCCACACACTTTACTTTTCCGTTTGCTTGATCAGTTTTTGTATATTTTGCAGGCTGTCATGCTGGACTCTACTGATGTTAACTTATGGTATAAGATCGGTCAATTGGCACTTCGCCTTGTACGCATTCCACTGGCACGACATGCCTTTGAAGAAGGACTCCAATGTAATTCTGATCACTGGCCTTGTCTGGATAACCCTAGTCACTGTCCTTTATACAATCTATGATTATAGTAGTAAGTATTGTTCAAACTAATAAATGAACTTAGACTTGGTGAGAAGGGAATAACAATGAAAAATATTACTGATTTTTTTTTTTTTTTAGCAACACATGGCAGAGAAATAAAGGGCCACTAAGAAGCATAGCAGTGCACTGTGGTATTGCTCTCTCTCTGTGGTGGGTTGAGTCATCTGCTGCCTTTTTAAACTTTCTGAGGACTCCAGAACTGTGAGATCCCTCTCTGTTACTGAGCTCTTCTTCGACTTATTGTGGGGTGTAACTCCATCTGGAGGGCAATCAACTCTTAATAATGGTGACTGCTATCAAACCTCAGACCATCAAGCTCACACCACTCATGTTCTTACGAACCACAAGTTACTCAAAAAGTAAATTAGCTCTATAACCTTTACCAAAAGTTAAAATTTAAAGTGGTCATAAAGGTTGAAGGTTTTTTCATCTTCATGCATTCTATGCATGAAAGTAAGAAACCTTCTGTGTGCAGCAGCCCCTCCAATACTTACCTGAGCCCCCTCTCAATCCAGAGATGTGCATAAGAGCAGCTGCTTTCCAAGAATTCTTCCTCCTCTTTGGCTGAGACAGCAGCAGGAGCCATTGGCTCCCACTACTGTCAATCTAAGCCAGTGAGTCAATGAGGAGAGAGCAGTGGGCAGGTTGAGCTGCCTTAATGTGTGAATGGAGACACACAGCAGCGGCTCAGAAGTGAGCCTTCTTGTGTGACCCAATAGTAATCTCCTTGCTAAGGGGACACTCGACAGGAGGAAGGGGCCAGGAGTGCTGGCGGGGGACCTGAGAAGGAGGAGGATCAGGGCTGCTCTGTGCAAAACCATTACCCTGAGCCGGTTAGTATTACATGTTTATTATTTTAAAAAAACCTGCCTTTAATATCACTCTGTGTTAAGTGGTGCTTAGGCTAAGTTTAGACTTGCGTTTAAACCGCTGCACCTCTGAAAAGCAATTTGTGTTCAGGTTTCTTTTTAGAAGCATTTGACTGGCTGTGAGAATGCGATGTGACGCATCCTCACTTGCCTGCTTTTAACCCTGTAATTGTCACAACAATTGCATTGAATTTGGTTGCGGGCATTTGCAGCTTCCCCATTCACATCACACAGGAGCTGTGTAAACACCCCCATCCACTGCCTTTGCAGCTTAAATGGGGGGCTAAAAATGCAACTGCGTGTTTTAACCCCTTCCACCCAAATACAGACTAAACACGTCTTTAAAGGAGAACTTGTATAAACTTGCTATACAAGTCATTTAGTTTGGTATTATTTAAAATTGCCTTCCATTTCAGTATGCAGTCCCTGTAATTTTCTAACACTATCCTGAAATTTAGTGCAATATGGCAATTTGGAGGCATTCTGTACACCATTGATGTATGAAATACCCACAAAAATGTCATTTCCTGCTCACTGATTTTCTTAAGACGTCTGCCCTGAGAGCTAACCGTTATAATTTTGGCATCCCCTACAATAGGAATTCCTTTGTTGGTGAGATTATCCCTAGGAGTTGTCTACTGTAAAGAGATTTAGATGATTGCGCTTTCCACATCAGAACATTTAGGGTGCACCAGGTGGTTATAATGAAGGCTGACCCTCCCATTCAGAGATCAGTCTGGAATGAATATGGTGAAATGAATAGATATCTACTGTATATATATTTTTTTTTTTTTACGAACCGAGAATGGTAAGGAATCTGCAACAAGGTGTGTAAAAGCTCCTTCATTGTACATAGATCACTCAGAATGGATTTTTTTTTTTTTCTCAACAAGCGTTGAATTGTACTTGAAGGTTATGGAAGACCAAATGAAAACAAAGAGCCTTCAACTAAAATACTGTAACTTTGAATCAATGGCTATATATTCTAGGCTGTATATGTGTTTATAAATGAGTGCTTCAGGTTGCACAGCTGGCCACATCAGCATAAAGCAATGATTTATACCATGCTTCCTATAAAGCTAACTTTCTAAGGTGGTGGCAGGTCCTAAAACGTAGGCACCTCCCGATATCTGCTTATACCCTCAGATCAACTTCAGAGAATATCTTCTCAAACTAGAAAAGCTACAATTTCTGGGGAAATTGTGTGAAGTGTTCTTGCCTCCACCAGTAGTCTACAACTGGAGTGGGCGGAGTAAACTGGGTGGAGTGGCTTGTCACTCTGCTGCCTGCTCACACACCTGGGTTCCTATGGCAACTCACTCTACAGCAAGGGCAGAGAAGAGCGTTTGAAAACAAACTGCTCCAACTTGCAGTTTAGAAATTGCCTTCAAATTTGAGGTGGCTAGAGTGGAGTTTCAATGAATGTCAATGGACGGTGGGAGTTGCAGACAAATGGTCATATTGTGAAAACTATCAGGACTATTGCTTAGCCGTGGACATTTTTAGTGGCAGCAGGGATAGGTGAACGTTTTGATATAAGATTTGTGTAGGTGGGCTTGAAAATGAGGGAGTGATGGCAGTTTAGAAATCATGTCTTGATTTTTCAGCTCACACTCTAGCTTTTGTCAGCTAGAACATTTTGTCTAGCTTTGAACATTCCGCCATTCATTACTATGGAACCAATTTCACCACAAAAACGTCGATATTTCGTGAACCATTCGGCGAAATGTGCCACAAAGTAATAGCACACCAATCGGGAACAATTTGCACGTTTCGGTATATTACTGTCTATGTAGTGTAAAAACTGTAGGAGGAGTTAGGGTGGTAAATTTGGCTATAATAATAATATATATGTGAGATAACAGTAAGTGGTCTTGCCATGCAAGAACACTTAATACTAGAAAAGCTACAATTTTCGGGGGAAATTGTGTGAAGTTTTCTTGCCTCCACCAGTAGTCTAGGGCTTGAAAATGAGGGAATGGTGGCAGTTTAGAAATCATGTCCTGATTTTTTCAGCTCACACTCTAGCTTTTGTCACTCTGCTGCCTGCTCACACACCTGGGTTCCTATGGCAACTCACTCTACATCAAGGGCAGAGAAGAGCGGTTAAAAACAAACTGCTCCAACTTGCTAATTTCACTGGCGGTTGCCATCTTCAAACGGTTGCAGTTTACAAATTGTAAATCCTACACCGAAGAGCTTTATATTGTGAGAATCACAAGACCCAGACCTACATTTTGATGCATAGTATGTCTCCGAAATATTAAAAATGAAGGCACAGTCGCAGTTTAGAAATTGCCCTTTAAGTTTGTGGTGGCTAGAGTGGAGTTTCAATGAATATCAATGGGCAGCATGAGTTGCAAACAAATGGTCATATTGTGAAAACTATCAGGACTATGGCTTAGCTGTGGACATTTTTAGTGGCAGCAGGGATAGCTGAACGTTTTGATATAAGATTTGTGTAGGTGGGCTTGAAAATGAGGGAGTGTTGGCAGTTTAGAAATCATGTCCTGATTTTTCAGCTCCCACTCTAGTTTTGAACATTCCGCCATTCATTACTATGGAACCAATTTCACCACAAAAACGCTGATATTTCATGAACCATTCAGCGAAACGTTCCACAAAAAGACCACTTACTGTTATCTCACATATATATTCTTATTATTATAGCCAAATTTACCACCCTAACTCCTCCTACAGTTTTTACACTACATAGACAGTAATATACCGAAACGTGCGGATTGTTCCCGATTTGTGTGCTATTACTTTGTGGAACATTTCGCCGAATGGTTCACAAATATCGACGTTTTTGTGGTGAAATTGGTCCCATAGGAATGAATGGCGGAATGTTCAAAACTAGAGTGGGAGCTGACAAAAGCTAGAGTGTGAGCTGAACACAAGAATACTTCACACAATTTCCCCAGAAATTGTAGCTTTTCTAGTTTATGTTGCATTACTGTTCACACTATTATTGGTTTGTACTAGCATGGATTTACTTTATTTTTATTAAGTTTTGGTACTTTGGCACGTCTTTTTTTCCAAACATGTTTAACTGATTTTACAGTTTCATTCTTCAACAAAGTGTGTGTTGGGCAGTACTCTGCATGATAAAAATACACTAAATGTATTGCTTTGCATGCAAATGTTTTCCCCAGACTGTCTGTATTTCATCTGTAAGGCTCTGGAGAGAGACTGTCGTTACAGCAAAGGCCTAGTGCTAAAGGAGAAGATTTTTGAGGAGCAGCCATGTCTTAGAAAGGACTCTTTTCGTATGTTTATGAAATGGTGAGCATATCTAACTATTTGAACCCTTTCCTATAATGTGGTACTGGCACTTTCCAATTCCTTGTTACTATTGATAACCAACTTTGTGGACTTGAATAGGACTGGCAGTGTCCATGTTTTAGCTATGTGCTGCTTTTTATGTTGTATAAATGTATATGTTTAGGGTTTTGTTTTGGTGGTTTTAACAGCTCTTAGATATACAAATCATTATTGGTGAGGGTATTTACTTATGAGAGAAGTTTTAAACCTCCAAATTTTGTGTATATGTATATAGCTCCCAACCATTTTGTGTATTTTGCTGTATACTGGTTAGTGTCTTTGCATGCAACACTAATCACTCTCTTAATTGCAACTAATACTTCAATTATACCCCATCTACATCACATCTCATAAGCTTTTACTACCTATGTTAAGACCAACATTCCCTACACCAATTGGAGACTAACAAATACCTCAACCATTGCTGATTGTTCTACTATAAACCCCATGGGCAAGGTGTGGAGTGCCGCAAGGTTGCTCTTAGGGATTAGTACCCTTGCTAAATACACCCTGCGACGAACACAGTGCCAGACCCCTGCCATTCTTACCATTTTGTGACAAAGGACAGGCTAATCTCACACTGCACTGTCCCTTACGCAACAATGCCACTCTCGGCTGCACCCCGCACAAAGATTTTCCAGCTTGAGGGACCATAATGTAGGTGCCAGCAGCCTCAGAGCAATGGTCACTGGGTTAAGTCAATTAAGCAACTTACCCTTTAAACGCCACCATGTCTGCAACACACACCGTCACCACTGACAGGTATGTTCAGGTTTTTATACTCCAGTATTTAATCGCCACTGGGTGTTTTATTTTTTGCGCTATAAACAAAAAAAAGAGCAAAAAATTTGAAAAAAAAAAAAGTTTTTCTTTGTTTCTATTACAAAATTTTGCAAACAGGTCATTTTACTCCACTGATGTGCATTGATGATACTGCACTGATAGGCAGCAGTGATGGCCACTGATAGGTGGTACTGATGAGCTGGCACTGATGGGTGGCACTGACTGGCGGTACTAATGGGTGGCAATGCTAGGCACTGATGAGCACAGATGGGTGGCACTGCTTGGCACTTGTGGGTGGCACTGCTGGGTACTGATCATCAGTGCCGATCTGTTTTCTGACAATTGCTGGTTATCGGCAGTACTTTGGAAAGTGCAGCCGACAACCCGCAACTGCATTTACTCAGTGATCTGCTGTGTCATTGGACACGTGTCATCACGTGGTAAAAGGCTGCTGTGATTGGCCTTTTACCACATCACATGATCAGCTGTGTCCGTAGGACACAGCGATTACGGAGATCGTTGGGTGCGCGCCACTAGGGGAACATGGGAGGGCGTGTTCTGGGAGGAAATAATATGATGCCCTCCCAGAACTGGACAACCCAGTTGTCAAGTGGTAAAAGGGTGGTGACTGGGATGTCACCACATTTATGACCAAGTCCCAAATACAGTTTCCTATAAGTATTCATATCTCTGAATATCGTTTACAATCTGCTAACATGCAGATTATTATGTCCAGAATGAAATTAGCTTTGAAATGGGTATAGATATGACAGGTCTCGGATATCTAGTTCTCATCGGAGGGGTATGAAGGCCTAATCCACTCTGGTACCTCCTGCAGGGTGTTTGGTTCAAAACACTGCAGATTAATTGAGGAAGGAAAATATGTCTATATTCTTGCTGTGCTGTAATTATTTCATGAGTTACAAAACATGCTGTGGTTTTAGTACCTTGCTGATAATAACAAGTCCATGGGGGATGTGTATTCTCCTGACTTTCAACTAAGGTATTTATGACCCAATGTCTGATAACTTTCTGGTCACTGCAGCAGCTAAGTCAGACACTTTTATGGGCCCTGCGATGTATATTGGGGGTCAGATCTTGCTAGTCCTATTATCAGACTGGTAAGGGTTGTCTGCCAGCATCTAAGATTTTGTGGATTGTATGAGATGAAAGGAGGAGAGGGATGCAGAGAGAAGAAAAGGTCACTGTTGACACTTCTCTCTTTTGATACAATGCATAAAAGACTTGTAATCTGAACAAAATGGCTGCTACACACATAGCTATTCGTGTGCCCAGTACGCCATTACACACCCAGCTGTAGTTAAAAAGTCCCTTCCCGAGCTGTTTATACTGGGATTGTTTCTGCAATGGAAGAAGACATTTGTTGACAATGTGTCTTTACGAAGATGGCATGCCTAAAGCGGAATTAAAGTCTGTATTTCAAAAACTGTGAGCAGGCAAGCTCTTAGCTGCAGAAGAGACAATAAAATAAACCTACCGTGCAGCTCAGTTTTACCTGTGCATTCTGACACAAATGCAATGGTTTTTCTGCAATAAAATAAACCTACCTGCCTGCTCGCCATCTTCTTTAGAATGTTTATTGAGCTGTGCAAGTGCAGCTCAGTTTACATTCTGACACAAATCCTGTGTGCTGGGATGACTAAACTGAATATGTGGGTGAGGGACCTCAAGCCATTGAAGGAGTCCAGTATTTCAGGCTTTGGGGTGTATGTTCACCCAACTTCAAGAGGAATCGGGGCTGGAAACATCCTTTTACTACCATGAAAGCTAGCATTTATAGTTTAGACATGCTCTAAATTGAGCTATTCTCTAATGCTGTATTCTGACTTTTTCATGCTTGCAACATAGAATATTGTCTATCAATATAATGTTGGGATGATGCCTCAGATACTTGACAAAAGGAGCTTGTTATTTCTTCTTTATATTCCTTCCTTTTTTCCTCTTGTTTAATTGGTGGTGTTTGGGACACAATACATTACATTCTCTAACATGTTTTTCATGTCTGCTACATGATATCTAAGCATATTGTTTCTATTTTCACTGCTGTGACTTCAGGATCCTGATTCATATTGTTTCTATTCACTGCTGTGACTGAATATGTGTATTGTGTGTACTAATGATTAGAAAAAGTTGTATCATCTTTTAGATTCAAAAACAGGGACAAAACATATTCACTGTAATCCATTCATTCTGAACGGTACAAATGGACAGTATTAAACACTTTTTAAGTTGTCAAGAGTGTCTAAGTCATAAAATGTATTCTTTGTGTTTACTGTGTAGTGACATTTCTATTCATGATGTAAATGTCAATGAAGAAGAGGCAAAGAGAATTGTGGAAGAAGCATTAGACTTGCGAAGGAAGAGACAGGCTTTAAATGTGAAAAAGCAGGAGCCTGATTTAAAGCTGGTTCAGCCAATCCCATTTTTTACGTAAGTCTGATTAATTTATCAGAGATGTCTGTATACAGTAGAATTTGTAACATAGTAGTCAGTTGGGCTAATATTTGCTTTTTGATTCTAGTTGGAAGTGTCTTGGTGAAAGTCTTCTGGCCATGTATCGTCACCTCACAACCTGTGAACCCCCCCGTCCTAGTTTGGGAAAAAGGGTAGACCTTTCAGACTACAAAGATGCATCACAACCTCTTCCTGTTCCCCAGACCTCCTCTCCAATAAGCATATCCACAGACATACCCTACATCTCGACTCCCACAACACCAGCTATCCCAGCACCAGAGCCAGTTTCTGCAGTGTCCTCTGTTACTCCTTCTCTGTCTTCTCAGAATGTCAGTGATTTGTCCCCTGTACAAGGTAACCAATATTTAGTTTTATTTCAAATGTATTAGTGGGTTTCATAGATTTTACAGAGGTACCGAAGGAGCAATAAAAAAAATGTTAGTCCTTACAGGAGCACATATACTACCTGCAGTATATTTAACATAAATAGCACAAAAGGCTCTGCACACAAGATCTTGAAATCTAGTTTTTACATTTGTGTTTGGAAAAATTTTGATTTTTTTTCTGAAATATTCTTGCCTAGTTTTTTCATAAAATTGTGCTGTATTCAGACTTCCCCTAGCTCAAAATGGCTGAAAATCTAAAGCAACAGGTTGACCTCAAGTATTCTGCAAATATTTATGCAGTATTGAAGGTCTTAAGATTTGGCTTAGCATGGAAAGGAATATATTTGATAAGGGAATTAAATGGCAGCTCCAACGAGGCAGTTGGTCAACTGTTAATGATATCTAGGATACTATGCAGACGTACTAAAGTCTTTGTCTTCTCAGACCACCTTAATCTGGCTTTATAAAGATCCAGTGTAGATCCAGTCATTACCTGGCTGGTGGAACCTCAGCGAACAGTAGTAGTAACTATTACTAATCTTCTCCTGCAAAGTGCTTGTGTTTTAGTTTAATTTGTCTGGAAACAGGGTTGCTTTGATAAAATATTTCTTTTTATTAACCACTTGCCCTCCTGAGGATTTACCCCCCCCCCCCCCTTTCCTGACCAGGCCATTTTTTGCGCTGCATTACTTTAACTGACAATTGCGCGGTCATACAACGCTGCATCCAGATGAAATGTATGTCCTTTTTTTCCCCACTAATTGAGCTTTCTTTCGGTGGTATTTTAATTTTTTTCACTATAAAAAAAAAGGCCAATAATTATGAGAAAAAAAAACATATTTTTGACTTTTTGCTATTAAACATGTCCAGTAAAAAAAATTGTAAAAATCAAATTTCTTCATAAATTTAGGCTAAAATGTATTTTGCTACATGTCTTTGCTGAAAAAAAATCCCAATACGTGTAAATTAATTGGTTTACGTGAACGTTATAGCGTTTACAAATGGCGGTATATATACTGGATTTTTTTTTTCTTGTACTAGTAATGGTGGCGATCAGCGACTTATTACGGGACTGCAGCGGGCATTCTGACACTGGGGGGGAACTGACTTGGTGTCACTGACATCCCCAGTGACACCAATACAGTGATCAGTGCTAATAAAAAGCACTGTCATTGTACTAATGGCACTGGGCAGGATGGGTTTAAATTGAGGGGCAATCGAAGGGTTAACTGTGTGCTGGGAGTGTTTTTACTGGGGGGCGGTGTGTTGGTGCTTCATTGTAAGCACACTGCTCTGAATGTCTGCTCTGGATGTGCTGTGCACAGCTGTCCAGAGCAGTGTGCCTGAGCCAACAGGGAGGTGGACTGTTAGTAAACAAAGCAGCCCTCCTCCCCGTCGGAGACCCTCAGTAATCACAGGGCGCCGTGGGTAATCACCGGCCCGGACCCAGTGATTGACAGCTGCGACCCCTACTCGGAAATACAAAATCACGTATATATACGTGATTTTGAACACCCCTGCCGCCCTGTAGCAGTATATCTGCTATAGGGCGGTCCGATGTGGTTAAAGAAAAAAATGTTAGTCTGTATAACTAGTTGCCCAGCTTTCCCATCTTTACCATATTGATAAAATTGACAGGAAGAGATTTTGTGGTTTGGTATCTGACCCGGAAATTCCATCAAGCCTACACCCATTCTGTGATATTACTAGGGGTGTTCTAGGGTCTGTTACGCAGCTCTCTACTAAAAGAGATGGCCTTCCATTATAAAAGAATCTGAGATCTCTCCACCTCTAAGATAAACAGTTTGCCAGTTTCATATCGATACTCCTCTTTGGTTCAGTCGGTTATTGCCTGAACTCTTCACTATTCCCAACCACAAGCTTTGGCTTTCTAGAGGTGTATACCAATGGGGCATTAAAACGTTTGAGGTTCTGAAACAGGAGTTTTCTCTCCCAACTTTTTTGTTATTCCTTTACCATCAGGTACAGCATGCCCTAACATCTCAATTTACTGACGGCTTCCTAGTCCTCTCCTCATTATCTTTACTGGATGTTGTGTATGGGGTAGCACCTCGTAAATTGATCTCCACGCTGTTCGAACCTGGCCTACTCTTATCAAATCTCGCTGGGAGACTGACATAGGGGTCATTGGAGATGAGGAATGGGAGGAGGTACTAGACTCCTGCAAAAAAGTTTCGCCTAAAATATCTGACCGCATTACCCAACTCTATATTTTGCATAGGGCATATTTTACAACAACTCATCTTGCACGGTTTAGAATTAAATATTGCCCTAAATGCCATATATCCCTGGGCATGTTTGGCACTGTCCACGGATAAATGGATTTTGGACTCAGGTAATCCAGTTCTTACATGACCGCATTGGTTCCCCTATATCCTTGGATCCTAAACCATGTTTATTGGGAATTCTCCCTAATCCTGATTCTGATAAGTGTTTGACTACATTTTTACATGAAACTTTGTTTAACGAGCAGGGCCCTCTGTGTCCTCTTGTACCAAATTGTATTGTAACTGTAATGTCTACCTTCATTTTGTAAAGCGCTGCGCAAACTGTTGGCGCTGTATAAATCCTGAATTATTATTATTATACAGTATTTATAAAGCGCCAATAGTTCGCTCAGCGCTGTACATTACAAAGGGGGACAGAACATGTGACAGAACAACAACAATACAATGCAAAACATGAGGGGATCGAGGGCCCTGCTCTTTCGAGCTTACAATCTAGGAGGGAGGGGATGGTGGCACAGGAGGAGATAGCTGTGGGGGATGGGGTGGTAGGAAGAGTGGAGGAGGTTGGCAAGTTAGCAGGGGGTGGGGTAGGCTTCCCTGAAGAGGTGGGTTTTCAGGGTGCGCCTAAAGGAGAGGAGAGTAGGTGATAATCTGATGGGTTGGGGCAGGGAGTTCCAGAGGATGGGTGACACCCTGGAGAAGTCCTGGAGGCGGGCATGGGAGGAGGAGAACAGGGAACTAGAGAGAAGGAGGTCTTGTGAGGAGCAGAGTGTGCGTGCTGGGTCGTACTTGGATATTAGGTCAGTGATGTAGTTCGGGGCAGTATGGTGGACGGCTTTGTACGTCAGTGTCAGGATTTTGAATTTGATCCGTTGCGCAATCGGAAGCCAGTGGAGGGATTGGCAGTGGGGGGGGTGGCAGAAATGGAGCGGTTGGAAAGGTGAATGATTCTGGCAGCCGTATTCAGGATCGACTGAAGCGGGGACAGCCAGCGGCGAGGCAGGCCAGTGAGGAGGTAGTTGCAGTAATCGAGTCGTGATATGATGAGGTAGTGGATGAGCTGTTTAGTGGTTTCTGGGGTTAGGAACGTGCGTATTTTGGCGATGTTGTGGAGGTGGAGTCTGCACGAGCTTGTTAAAGATTGGACTTGGGGCTGGAAGGATAGGTTGGAGTCCAGAATGACACCAAGTACTCTGGCCTGCGGGGTGGGTTTGATGGTGGCGTTGTTGGATGTGATGGAGAAGTCAATGGGGGGGGGTGTCCGGGCTGGGGGAAGACAAGAAACTCGGTTTTGGAGAGGTTCAGTTTAAAGAAGTGGAGCGACATCCAGTCTGATATGTCGCTCAGCAGGTGTGTGATTCAGGCGGAGACTGAGGTGGTGGGTGGGGGGTTGAGAGATAGATTTGTGTGTCGTCGGCATATAGGTCGTAGTTAAAGCTGTGAGAGTGTATGAGTTGGCTAAGGGAGGAGGTGTAGATGGAGAAGAGAAGGGGCCGGAGGACGGAGCCTTGAGGGACCCCAACAGAGAGGGGGAGTGAGGGGGAGGTGGTAGCATTATAGGTAACGCTGAAAGAGCGTTGTGACAGGTAGGATGAGAGCCAGGAGAGAGCAGAATCTCTGAGGCCGAGGGAGTGATTTTTTGAGGAGGAGGGGGTGGTCGACTGTGTCGAAGGCCGCAGAGAGGTCAAGGAGTAGGAGCACTGAATAGTGGCCATTAGCTTTGGCAGTTAGCAGGTCGTTGGAGAGTTTAAGTAAGGCAGTTTCGGTGGAGTGTAGGGGACGGAAGCCGGACTGTAGGGGATCGAGGAGGTTGTTGTCGTTGAGGTGAGAGCTTAGGCAGGGGTAGACTAGGCGCTCGAGGAGTTTGGATGTAAATGGGAGCAGGGAGATGGGTCTGAGGTTGTTCGGGTCATTGGGGTCCAGGGAGGGCTTTTTAAGTATGGGGGTGATGTGTGAGTGTTTCAGAGGGGAGGGGAATGTGCCGGAGGAGAGGGAGAGATTAAAGATGTGGGTGAGGGAGCGTAGGATGGAGGGGGGGGGAGGTCGTAGGAGTTGTGAGGGGATAGGGTCGAGGGGGCAGGTGGTGAAGCGGGCATCAGAGAGGATCTTGGAGACTTCCTCGATGGTAGTAGGGTCAAAGGTGCGGAGTGTTGGGGGGGGCTTCAGTATGAGGAATGTAGGGTGGGGTGGAAGTGGAGGTCAGAGCAGTGGTGGGGCCGTGGGAGAGGGGTGATGAGGGGTAGCTGAGTGAGGGGGAACAGGGTTGGAGGGAGTTTGAGCAGTGACGAAGTCCCTGCGGGTTTTGTCGAGGGAGAGGGGGGATGAGGGAGTAGCTGTGTGAGAGGGGGGACGGGTTGAGAGGGCGTGTGAGTTGCGACGATGTCCTTGCGAATTGTGTCAATCTTGTTTTTGAAGTGATTGGCAATCTCAAGGGTGGTGAGTGAGGTGCTGGGTGGAGGTGGGGGTGGCGAGAGTAGAGAGTTGAGTCGGCGAGGATTGGAGGAGAGGGCCTTGATGAGGGTAAGGAAGTAGGCTTGTTTGGCTGGCTGCATGGAGGGAGGAGGTGTAGGTGTGGAAGGCAGATTTGTAGCGGGTGAAGGCTTTGTGGGATTTGGTTTTGCGCCATAGTCACTCCAGGGCACGACTGTGTTGTGTGAGGGTTTTGGTGTGATCAGTCTGCCAGGGCTGGAGCGGGTCGGGGTCTGATGTTGCGTGTGGT